GCCGACCCTCCGACAGTGCGGCGCCCCCTCGGCGCCGACCCTCCGACAGTGCGGCGCTCCCTCGGCACTATTTGGCCCAACTGCTGACCAGGTTTCCTAAATTGAGCTCGACCCTTTCGGGTGTGTTGATCTATATCACTCGAAACCTTTCCTATTCACCTACCTATCCAAATGTCTTTTAAATTTTATAATTGGAGTTGGCCTTGCCACTTCCTCTGGCAGTTTGTTCCGTGTAGACATCGCCCTTTGTGTGAAAAAGTTACCCCTAATGTCCATTTTAAATCTTTCACCTCTCACCTGTAGTTTTGCACATTCTTGGTCTGAGGAAGTGATGCACTCATGTGCTTCTCCATGTATTTGTTTTCAACATTGTGTGGCTTCTTGCCTTAACTGTTCTCCCTCTGGGTGAAAACATTTGTTTCTTTGCCCACTGATGCTATAGCCTTTAACTTTAAAATTATGCCTCCTGGATTGACCCTTTGCCGAAACCAATTACCTACTTGTACCGTTCTGAGGAAGGGTCACCGGACCCAAAACGTTAACTCTGTTTTTTCTTTCACAGATGCTGCCTGAACTGCTGAGCTTTTCCAGTAGCTTTGTTTTTGTTCCTCATTTACAGCATCTGCAGTTCTTTCGGGTTTTTACCTACTTGTATTAACGCTAGACTATTGATTCAGAAACCTAGGTAATAGGTGTTTGATAAGGTTCCACACTGTAGGCACATGCAGAAGGTAAGGAGGCATGGGATAGGGGGAAATGTGGCAGATTGGATTCAGAATTGGCTGACGATTAGAAGACAAAGGGTGGCAGTGGATGGAAAATATTCAACATGGTGCTCAGTTACGAGTGGTGTATCACAAGGATCTGTTCTGGGTCCTCTTCTGTTTGTGATTTTTGTAAATGATTTGGATGAAGGCGTGGAAGGGTGGATTAGCAAGTTCGCGGACGATATGAAGGTGGGTCGAGTTGTGAATAGTGCGGAGGGCTGTTCTAGGTTACAAAGGGACATTGATAGAATGCAGAGCTGGGCTGAGAAGTGGCAGATGGAGTTTAACCCTGAAAAGTGTGAGGTAATTCATTTTGGAAGGACAAACTTGAAAGCAGAATACAGGGTTAACGGTAAGATTCTTGACAGTATGGAGGAACAGAGGGATCTTGGGGTTCATGTCCACAGTTCCCTGAAAGCTGCCACCCAGGTGGATAGAGTTGTTAAGAAGGCGCATGGTGTGTTAGCTTTCATTAATAGAGGGATTGAGTTCAAGAGCCGTGAAGTTATGCTCCAGCTGTACAAAAGCCTGGTTCGGCCACATCTGGAGTATTGTGTCCAGTTCTGGTCGCCTCATTACAGGAAAGATGTGGAAGCGTTGGAAAAGGTGCAGAGGAGATTTACCAGGATGTTGCCTGGAATTGAGGGAAGGTCTTACGAGGAAAAGTTGCGAGAGCTAGGGCTTTTCTCTTTAGAACGACGAAGGATGAGAGGTGACTTGATAGAGGTGTACAAAATGATCAGGTGTATGGATAGAGTAGACAGCCAGAGACTTTTTCCTAGGGTGGAGGTAGCTTTTACAATGGGACGTAGTTTTAAAGTGAAAGGAGGTAGATATCGGGGAGACGTCAGAGGTAGGTTCTTTACTCAGAGAGTGGTAGGGGCATTGCCGGAGAGGGTAGTGGAGTCGGCCTCATTAGGGGCATTTAAGTGGCTATTAGATAGGCATATGGATGACAGTATAAGGTAGTGGTGGAGGTTAGATAGACCTTAGGTTTCAGGTAAAAGTTCGGCACAACATCGTGGGCTGAAGGGCCTGTACTGTTCTATGTTTTATTCTGGGGACCCAAGTTCAAATTCCACCATGATGTTGGAATTTGAGATCAATTTTAAAAACCTGTAATCTACTGATGACCATGAAACCATTTCCAATGTTCAGGGAAAAACCAACCTGGTACACTAACGTCCTTTAGGGAAGGAAACTGCCATCCTAACCTGCCTTAGCTATTCTGATCTGTGTGCGACTCCGCACCCACAGCAATGTGGTTGACTCTTAGCTTTCTTTCGGGCAGTTAGGGATGGGCAATAAATGCTGGCCTAGCCAGCAATACCCATAATCCCATTGGAAGAGTAAAAAAATTAAGAAAAGCAGTCTAGCTGTTTTCTATCCACCCTGTCCATACTCCTTGTAATCTTCTACACCTCTCTTGGGTACCCCCTTGACCTTCTCTGCTCCAAAGAAAACACCCTGAGCTTATCCAGCAACATCCTGGTGCACGGGTGGTGCAGCGGAGGTTCAGTTGTATTCTTCCGATAATGTGCTGACCAGAACCCATGCAGTACTCCAGCTGTGGCCTAACCAAAGTCCTGTACAGCTTCAGCATAACCTTCTTATTCTGATCTATGCCACAACTGAAAAAGGCAAGTGAACCATGTGCTTCTTAACTACCCTATTAACTGGCCGTGCTACCTTCAGGGATCTGTGGACAAACGATCTAGATCCCTCTGCTCCTTTGAGATTCCTCACTAATCTTTGTATCATCCATAAACTTACTTATTGTGTGTTCATGCCTCACCACCTTCTCCACCCCCCAAACACCACCTCTTGTAATGAAGCCAATTTTGGATCCATCTTGCCAAGTTACTCTGAGTCCAATGAGCTTTTGCCTTCTTTATCAGTTTCCTATGTGGGATTTTATCAAAGGTCTTGCTGAAATCCATATAAACTACATCAACTGCCCTACCCTCATACAAACACTTGGTCACCTCCTTGATCACCACCTGGGGAGGCAATGGCCTAGTGGTATTGTTGCTGGACTGTTAAACCAGAGACCCAGATAACATTCTAGGGGCCTGGGTTTGAATCCCGCCGTGGCAGATGGTAGAATTTGAATTCAATAAAATATCTGGAATTAAGAATCTAATGATGATGACCATGAATCCATTGTTGATTGTTGGGAAAAACCCATCTGTTTCACTAATGTCCTTTAGGGAAGGAAACTGCCATCCTTACCTGGTCTGGCCTACATGTGACTCCAGAACCACAGCAATGTGGTTGACTCTCAACTGCCTTCTGGGCAATTAGGGATGGGCAATAAATGCTGCCGAGCCAGCGATGTCCTCATCCTGTTAACAAATGAAAGAAAAAAAACCCACCAAATTTTTTTGGCATGACCTCCTTTTGATAAAGCTATGTTGAACATCACTGATCAAGCCTTGCCTCTCAAAATGGAGATTAATTTTCTCCTTCACTTTTTTTCTATTTTCTCCACTATTTTCCTTGATGTTTGTTTTTGTCTGATGCATCTTTACAGAGCTTCACACGGACGTTTTTCAGTAAAATGTTTCAAGGCATCGCTGCAAATCCTGCTGGTGGAGGTGAGACTACAATTTTATTGTGGTTGCTGTCTCAGAATGCAGTCATCACCAGAACACTACTTCATCACTGTCACTATCTTGCTCAACGCCATTGTCTTTATGAAGGTCACAAATGGTGGGACAAGTACTGAGTGTTTCAGTCGGTAATGGGATTGAGCGTCACTGGCTCAGCCAACATTTACAGCCCATCCCTAGTTGCCCTTGAGGTCAGTGGTGGAAGAAAGACTAAATGTTGAAGGTTGTGGATGTGATTCCAACCAAGCAGGATACTTTGTTCTGAATAGTGTCAGACCTCTTCAGTGTTCTTGGAGCTGCACCAGGCAAGTGGGGAGTGTTCCATCACACTCCTGACTTGCGCCTTTATGGTAGATAAGTTTTGGGAGGTCACAAATTCTCACGATTATTGCAATGCAGAAAGAGACCATTCAGCCCATTGTGTCTGCTCCAGCTCTTCAAACGAGCTATATTACCTATTGCCAATCTCCTGGCTTTTTCGCATATACCCTTATATACTATTTCAATTCAACTAATCATCCAACAACCTCTTGAATGCCTCAATTGAACCTGCCTCCACGTTTCCAGGCAGCGCATTCCATTTCCTGACTACTCGCTGTTTTTGCATGATCTCTGGCGTCCAATCCACTCTCAATTTTAAAAACCTTGACCAGATCTCCCCTCAGTATTCTCTCCAGAGAACAGTCCCAACTTCATCAATCGATCCTCATCACTAAAGTTTCTCATTCCAGAAACCATTCCTGTAAATTGCTTTCTGCACTGTCTTCAAAACATTCACACCTTTCCTATAATGTGGCAGCCACAACCGTACACTATACTCTAGCTGAGGTCCAGCAAGTGTCTTGTACAAGTTCAACATCATCTCTTGGCTCTTGTACCCTATGCCCCATTGATAAAGCTGAGGGCACTGTTTGCTTTTTGAACTGCTCTGTCCCCGTGTCCTGCCACCTTCAATGATCTGTGACATATACCTCCAGCTCCCTCTGCTCCTGCACTCCCTTTAGAATTATACCTCTAACTTTATATTGTCTTTCAATGTTCTCCTGGCAAAGTTCATCACCTCAGACTTCTCTATTGGATATTGTCCTGGTCTTGCTGTGTTTGGACATCGACTGCTTCAGTGTCTGAAGAGTCATGAATGGTGTAGGACATTGTGCAATTATCAGCTTATCCCCCGACAGGTAGGGGACACACTGATCACTCTCCCCGGGAGATCTGTCTACGGGCTGGTAGGGGACACACTGATCACTCTCCCTGGGAGATCTGTCTACAGGCTGGTTCCGGATTTAATCTCTGCTCTTTTGACCTTTCTTTTGTCATTTCAGGTCAAGGGAACAAGCCAGAACTGTACGAGGTGAGAAACGATTGAGAGGGGAGTTGACAGGATGGTGTGGGGGGTGCAGGGCAAATTGGTGTGCTGAGGAAGGGCTTTTGGTTGGGAGCATGGTATTTGGAACAGGGGTCCCTGCTGTCAGGAGGAGGGGCAGTGGAGCAAAAGTTGTGACTAGGTGGGGTAATGGGAAAAGGTACGTTTGAGTGTGAGAGACAGAAAAGGCACTGCCAAGGGTCCTGTCCTGTGAGGAAAGATTAGAGGTCAGGCCTTTATTCTCTGGAGAATGGGGTGATCTTGTAGAAACTTAGCGTAGCTGCAGAAAAGATGTTTCCCCTGGCTGTGGGACTCAAGAATTAGACAGTTCAGTATAGACTGAGGTGAGGAGGAATTCCTTCTCTCGGAGGGTGATGAATCTTTGGAATTGTTCGGTAGATTTCTGTACATTTAAAAACATTGAGGGATCTGCAGATAGTGCTGAAGTAAAAGATCATCAATGATCTCATTAATGGCGGAGTGACCTCAAGGAGCTGAATGGTCTTCTCCTGCTTCTGTTTCTTATGTTCTTGTGTTTTATTTTGTCTGGGTAGTTAGTTTGCAGCTAATTTTTCAGATGAGCTTCCGGATGGTATCTCTTGTGGCTTTAACATTGAAAAGCAGGTACAAACATAGCTGTTCCAGCTATATGATTCACCATGAGTCCAAAGTTTCTCTTCCAGAAGAGATTGTGTAATGGGTTTATAGCTCCTGTGTTGTAGCCTTTCACACTTTCAGAGATAGCCAGGTCTTTGCATTGTGATTATTCCATATTCAAATACAATGCAAGGTCACTGAGTCTTGTAGAACTTGTAGAGGCATGAAACAGGGAACAGGCCGTTCAGCCCCCAAGACTGCATTGACACATGATGCCTTTCTAAACCAAAAAAAAGCCTTTTGCCTCTACAGTGCCCATATCCCTCTATTCATGTATCTGTCAAGATGCCTCTTACATGTTGTTATTGTATTTGCTGCCTCCACCACTTCTGGTAGCGCATTCCAGATACTTACCACCCTCTGTGTAAAAAGAAAACTTGTCCCTCACAACTCCTTTAGACTTCCCCTTTTACCTTAAACCTAGGTCCCTTTGTAACTCACCATTTCTACCCTGGGGAAAAGACTGTGACTGTCCATTCTGTCCATGCTCTCATAATTTTATAAACTTCTAACAGTTCGCCCCCTCAGCCTCTGAGGTTCAAGTAAAAGCAAGCCAAGTTTGTTCAATTTCTCCTCATAGCTAATATCCTTCAAACAAAGCAACACCCTGGCAAACTTCTTGTGCACTCTCTCCAAACCTCCAGATCCTTGCTGTGGGGCAAATATGGTGTAACTAAGCTGCAACATGATTTGCCAACTTTATACTCAAGGCTGTGAACAATGAAGTCAAATATGCTGTACACCACCCTTACCACCTTATCCATTTGTGTTGCCAGTTTCAGGGAGCCATTGACTTGCATTCCAAGATCCCCCTGTATATCAGTGCTCCTAAGGGGCCTGCCATTTACTGTACAATTTTTGTCTTGCCTTTGAACCCCAAAAATGTATTTTTCTGCCCAACTTTCCAACTGATCTCTATCCTGCTGTAACCTTTGACAACTTTCCTCAATATCCACAACTTCACCAATTTCCATTTCGTATTTTTGAGTTTCAATTGTGTTTCAATGCCTCAGTTCCCTATGGAAACGCAGGACGATGTCTCTGCTGGTGTATTCACCCTTAAGAGAAGGACACGTGAGTTTCACAGTGGCTAGGGTCGCTCATATTTTAATGAGGTAAGTGTTGAAGTATCAAGTCCTAATAGGTTGTGAGTCTAATTTAAAAATATAGTTTTAAAAGTTTGTGAAAACTTCATGCCTGTGCTGGGAATGACAGATTCCTGCTCCACCTCACTGAATTCTAATTCAAATTTATTTCAGGAAGTCAAGTTATACAAAAATGCCAGGGAGCGGGAAAAGTGAGTATTTTTTATATTCGATTAGGGCTTGTAAGTGTGAATGGCTAGGCGAGCATTTGCTGCCAAACTGGTTCTTCAACACACTGCTCTAGAAATACAGACTATATTTGATCTCGTAAAATGCAATAAGGGAATAATTAATAACTTGTAAAAGAGCCCTTGGGGAAAGGTGACCATGATATTTAAGAATTTTCCGTTTATGTATGGAAAGCTCAATCTAAAACTAGGGTTTTCAATTGAAACAAAGGAAACTATGAAGGCCTTGGGAACAAATTAGTCGGTGGTCAATAGGGGAAAATATAATTAAAAGACATGATGACAGACCAAAAGTAGTTGTTGTTTGTAGACTTAAAACATGATTTATTTTTAAAATGTCCTGTTTAAGGCTCAACAGGAAAAGTGAGTCAACTGTGACTAAGAAAGGAAGTTAAAGATTGCAGTAGAGCAGAAAGAGGCTTATAAATGTTGCCTGGGAATTGGGAAAATGTTAGAATTCAGCAGAATACAAAGAAACTGACAAAAATAGAATAGGAAATGACTGTAGCCTAGCAAAACTGCTTTTTTCACAATAATATTAGCTTGTGGGTTGTTACAGGACTTTGGGGAGAGCGAGCAGGAAGTGGGATTAGTTTGGGGATTGATACAGGGCTCTGGGGAGACAGCGAGGCAGCGGGATTAGTTTGGGGATTGATTCAGGGCTCCGGGGAGACAGCGAGGCAGCGGGATTAGTTTGGGGATTGATACAGGGCTCCGGGGAGACAGCGAGGCAGCGGGATTAGTTTGGGGATTGATACAGGGCTACATCCCTCATCCTGTAAATCATTCCCTTCCACCTCTTCCCAGGCCGCCTTATCCTACATATTGTCAAAGAATAAAAGGTGTTGGGTACAACTAACAGTACAACGAGATCACATTTACATCATGTGTCCACCCCACAGAGACAGGGTCATAGTTACAGGAATTGTGTAGATTACAGACACATGCAGCATGTGTGTACACCTGCTCTTGACCTTTTGTCTCAAACCCAGGTATGATAACATGGCTGAACTGTTTGCTGTGGTGAAGACATTGCAGGCACTGGAGAAAACCTACATCAAGGATTGTGTCACTCCAACTGAGTGAGTATGGTGTGTTGCGGTCATGGAGAGGGTCAGGCTGGGTCCCGTTAGAGGTGGAGGGATGTCTGTCCCCTGGAGCTCGAGTGGGGAAAGAGGGTCTGTCCCTGGGGGTGGGGTTAGTCTGCAATCTGAGGCAGTGTGGAATGGTGTGTCTGTACCTGGGATAGCGGAGGGATGTATGTCTCCTGGGGGTGGTCGAGGAGGAGTAGGTGGAACTGGCTGGGGAGGGGAGGGGAGGGGAGCAAGGGCACAGGAGGAGGGGGCTGAGTCCCATTGCTGAGGGTGTGTGAGAGTGCTGTTTAATAGGGGGTTGGTGTCCTTGCAAACTGTACAAGAGTTAACATGATCATGAATGCACTGAGCAGGGGGTGGTGCATGGAGCAACGATTGTGAATCTGGTGGTTTAGCCTCCTCCCTGTGTTCACTGTTCTCAGGTACACAGCGGCCTGCTCACGCCTGCTGGTTCAATACAAAGCAGCATTTAAACAGGTCCAGGGCTCTGATATCAGCACCATCGATGAGTTCTGTAGAAGATACAGGGTAAGTAAGCAGGTCAGTATGATGGTTCGGGAGGCATTATTGGTTAGGATTGGGGCTCGAGGGGCATGTGTCGAGGGGAGAGTGGGAGGTGAGAGGGAATGGGAGTGTCGGGCAGGCAGTGAGGAAGGGAGCCAGGCCAGTGGGGGAGGTGAGGAGTGGAACTGGGAAGGGGTATAGTGAGAGGGGGGTGAGGAGGGGAGAAGTGGGAGTGTTGAGAGGGGGTTGGGGTGTCGGTGAGGAGAGGAGCCAGTTAGAGTCTGCTTGAAGTGGGAATCAGGTGGGATAGGACTTCATTAATTTTTTGCATCCTGTTTTCTAGCTGGATTGTCCATTGGCAATGGAAAGGATTAGGGAGGATCGTCCAATCACAATCAAGGATGACAAGGGCAATTTGAACCGCTGTATTGCTGATATTGTGTCGGTAAGGCTGACTTTGACCATTGGTCACTGCTGGCTAGCTCTAGAGTGACCAGTCATTCACTTGTAATCTGTCTCTCTATTCACACTCACTCTGTAATTTCCCATCTCTTCACAGCTCTTCATAACTGTCATGGATAAACTCCGTCTTGAGATCCGAGCCATGGATGAGGTAAGAAGCTGCTGTTGCTTCACAAGGTACTGAGAGCTGGGAGGGTGTATTCGGAATGTTACAGTCACAGCAATATGGTGCTAGGGCACCAGTAATACTGTCATGGGGCACAGGTTGGGGGAATGAAAAGGCAATGGGCTGGGGTAGTGATGAGATGAGAAAGGACAAAATCATGCCAAGGCAATGGGGCATGTGGATTAGGGAGGTGACAGGACATGACTGCAGGAGGATATGCCAGGAGCAGCACCAGGAATACCTGAAAATGAGGTGGCAACCTGGTGATGCCACCAAACAGGACTACTTGCACACCAAACAGCAAGTGATAGACAGAGCTAAGCGATCCCACAACTAACAGATCAGATCTAAGCTCTGCAGTCCTGCCACATCCTCTAACAAGTGGTGGTGGACAGTTAAACAATTTGCTGGAGGAGGAGGCTCCACAAAAGACCCCATCCTCAATGATGGAAAAGCCCAACACATTAGTGCTAAAGAGAAGGGTGAAGTATTCACAGCAAACTTCGGGCAGAAGTGCTAAGTAGGTGATCCATCACAGGTGCCAGTTTTGAAATGTCTCAGTTCACTGCACATGATATCAAGAAGGCTCTGGATACTGCAAAAGGCTGTGGACCCTCACAATGTTCTGGCAATACTACAAAAGACTTGTGTTCCAGAATTTGCTGTATCCCTTGCCCAGCTGTTCCAGTCCAATGTGGAAAACTACCCAGTTGTAATCGCCACACAAAGATCAGGACAAATCCAGTCTGCCCCATCAGTCTACTCTCGATCAGTAAATATTGGAAGATATCATCAACAGTGCTATCAGATGTCAGTTATAAAGGACTAACCTGTTCACTGACACCCAGCTGGTGTTTGCAAGGGCTACCTAGCCTCAAGTAAAATTGAGCAACTAAGATGTGATGGGGTATGACACTATGGTGGTAGCCAAGGAGAGTGTGTAAGTCTGAATGTTATCACTCGAATGGGCTGTCTCAATATGAGGAGGGTGAGGAATACAGCACAGCAACCCTCCTAAACAGAACTATTTTCCCAGATCCAGCCCGATCTCCGGGAGCTAATGGAAACCATGAATCGGATGAGTAATCTGCCAGCGGATTTTGAAGGAAAGGAGAAAGTTGGCCAGTGGTGAGTTTTAATGATGTGAATATTTAACAGGAAGTCAAGGAGACAATCCTAAATGTAAAATGGTCGTTGAGAACCTGAGCAGAGAAATGGTGGGAAATAAATTTACAGCTGGGGCATTGGAGGATAGAATGCAATATCGCAGATGGAAAAGATCATCATTTCAGGTCAAAACGGGATGGTTTGGGGATTGGTACAGGACTATACGGAGGGAGCAAGGCAGTGGGATTAGTTTAGGAATTGATGGAGTGCAATGAGGACAGAGTGGGGCAGTGGGATTAGTTTTCTGATTAATTCAGGGCAATGGGGAGAGAACGAGGCACTGTGTTTAGTTTGGAATCAAGTCCAGAGATGTCAAGGAATGTACAGGATTACATAATTGGGAGAAAAGGAAGCTGATCGCAGATACCGAGGGCTCAAAACACTGAAATCCCTAGAGACATGCAGACAGGTTACTTAAAAAAGAAATTAGGAGAGTGAAGAGAAAACAATGGCATGTAAAATAAAGAATAATGCAAAGGTAGTTTTATTATATTAAGTACAATAGAATAACCAGGGGAAGAGTAGGAACCATTGAAGACCAACGTTGCAATCTGTGTGTGGAGCTGGAAGACACAAATGAAGTTCAAAGTGCATCTTGTATTCACTATGGAGAAGGACAATGTAGGTGTAAGTACCCAGATAAGATGTATCCGAGCCTGCTATGGGAATCTGATAGGAGACTGCAGGAGCACTGACCTCAAGTTTTAAATCCTGTCTGGCCATGGGAGAGGTGCTAGAGAGGATAGCTCATATGGTACCGTTATTCAAGGGGCAGCAAGGGATAAACCAGGAAACTTAGCATTACGGTTAGAGTTAGCCCTAACCTAATCCTATCATAGACCAGTGAATCAGTGGTGGAGAAACTACTGGGAGAAAGTAATTCCATCCTTTGAAATTATGTCTGCTTGGAGAGGCAGGAATAATCGAGGGATAGTCAGCATGACTTTGTCAGGGCAAGATCATGTCCAACAAATTTTTGATTGAATTTTTTGAGGAAGGGATTTTGAGAATAGATGGGGATAGTGCAGTTGATGTAGTCTGCATGGATTTTAGGAAGGCTTTTGACACAGTCTTATGTGGGAGACTGGCCCAGAAAGTAAGAGCCCATGGAATCCGGGAAAATTTGGCAGTTTGGATCCAAAATTGGTTTAGTGGCAGGAAACAGAGGGTGATGCTTAAAGGGTGTTTTTGTGACTGGAAGTCTGTACCCAGTGGGGTCCCACATGATTTGCAGCTGGGTCCCTTGTCATTTGTTGTGTACATTAATGGTCTAGACACGAATGTAAGTAATATGATCAGTAAGTCTGCAGATGACATGAAAATTGATGGGGTGGGACATAATGAGGAGGATAGCCTTCGAACTTAGCCTTCGATATAAATGGGCTGCTTAGATGTGTTGAACAGTGGCAAATGGAATTTAATTTTGAAAAGTGTGATGATGCATTTTGGGACAGAGTGGAACCCTGGGAAATACAGAGGGACGTTGATGTGCATGTCCATAAATCCTTGTAGGCAGCAGTTTAGGTAGATAAGGTGGTTAAGAAGGCACATGACATATCTAATTGTTGCATTAGTCAATGTATTAAGTATAGGAAGTTATAATGGGGTTGTATACAAAGTAAGTTAGGTCACAGCTGGAGTACTGAGCAGGTTCTGGTCACTACACTATAGGAGCAATGTGATTGCACTGGAAATAATGCAGAGGAGATTCACCAGGATGTTGCCTAGGCTGGAGTGATCAGCTATGAAGAGAGACTGGACAGGCTGGGAATATTTCTCTTTGAGCAGGGAAGGCTGAGGGGCTTCTGATCAAGGTGGACAAAGCTCTGAGGAACGTAGGGTAGAAAGGGAAAAGTTTCCCCTGAGCAGAGGGGTCAAGAACCAAAGGCATGGATTTGAGGTAAGGAGCAGGAGGCTTAGAGAAGATTTGACAAAACAAAACACTTCCACCCAGAGGGTGGTGAGTATCTGGAACTCATAGCCTAAAGGGGCACTTAAGGTGAGAACCCTCAAACACTTGTATGGTGTGGTGTTTCACTTCCCAAGGCTACGGCCAAGTGGAAATGGGATTAGAGAAGATAGATGCTTGATGACAGCATGGACATAATGGGCCAAAGAGCCTCTTTCCGTGCTGTAAAACTCAACAGCCCACTTGCCACTGCCTTTCACTTAGATGACCTATGTATTCCCACTCTGTTTCCTATCTGCTAACTAGTGGTCAGTGTATGCCGTATGATACTACCAATCATATGTGCCTTGATTTTGCACATGTACCTCTTATGTGGGACTTTATTAAAAATTAATTGAATGAATTTGGGATTGTTACAATGCTGTGGGTAATGATGTGGGAGAGAGCCAGGTGCAAAGTCATTCTTACCTTGAGTAATCTGTTACTCAGCACAGAATGACAAAGAAATGGGACCATTTGATCTGTTGCTGGAATGGGATCACCTGGTTTATTCCTGTATTCTTGGGACTTGCAGGTTACAGAAGCTCAGTGGAATGTCAGCTTCAGATGAATTGGATGACACCCAGGTGCGACAGATGCTGTTTGACTTGGAGTCTGCCTATAACTCATTCAACAGGTTCCTGCATTCTTCTTAAGGGACCTCCCATGACTTGCAGCACTGGACTTAGCCGACCATTCTTCCACAGTCATCCACGAATGGTTTTCTGAAATGCTGCCGTCCAATCTTTTCCAATTGCTAAATGGGACTTCCTCTTTCTTCATTCCTGTTTTTTCACCAGGAATGCAACGTGTTTGTGTCTTTCTGTGTAGATATTGTATCTGCTGTAAGATAGGTCTGCTCCATTGTTCTCTGAGCGCTATATATTTTATTGTATTTCTCTGAATAAAATGGAAGTGAAGTTGCCACGGTATTCTCCAGTACTTCTATCAATTTGCCCAGTCTGAACATGGCTGTGGTTGATTTAGTAAGTATCTCGGTGAAGTGTTGACCTGGCTGTCGTCAGGTGCTTTTGACAACATGCACTGTATGTGGTTCAATGAAACACCGCTGATATCGGCAGTAATTTCAATTGGACAACAAAGGGCTGGGTACACAAAAAGGAATTTATTCTGTAGTATTCGGAGTTGCTGATTAAATCGTTTCAAATTCTAAGAAAATACCTTGGGACATTTAACACACAGAATTATGTTTAAGGATGGATAGCCTCATAGTCAGTTCATGATACTAACTGTAAAGTGTGAAACCAGCAACCAGACTCTGGACTGAAATGTTGACCTGGTCTGGGTCACGCAGCAGAGCAGTGGAGGTAGCTATGAGGGAGGTTGTTAGGAGAACAGGCTGCATGAACTGAAACAAACACAGAAAATGCTGGAGAAGCTCAACAGATTTGGTAGAATCTAAACAGAAACAGAGTTAATGTTTCTGGTCTGTTCTGGAGTGGAGTCATCAGACTCAAAGTTAACTCCGTTTTCTTCTCCACAGATGCTGTCAGACCTGCTGCGTTTGTCCAATACCCATAGCTCTTTGTTTTAACGTTTCAAGTCTGGTTTGACTCTATTTTTAAAGACATGTTTCAGCATTCTCTGTGCTTGTTTCAGATGTCCAGCATTCATCACTTTTTTTTTTAATTTCAGTATGAACTGAAGTTACTATGTTAGAGGGATGCAGAAAGAGAAAGACCTTAGTGTGTATACAAAGTGACAGGACAAGTTGAAAAAGCTGTTTAAAAAGGCCATGAGGATCTTGAGCTTTAGAAGCAAAGTAAAGAAGCATGGACACAAAAAACCCAGAAGAACTGCAGACACTGGAAATTAGAAACAAAGCTGAAATGTTAAGCCTGCTTTCTCTCCACAGATTTTGCCAGAGCTGCTGAGTTTTTCCAGCAAGTTCAGTTCTTGATTGTAAGAATTGATCGGTTTGATTTATTGTCACATGTATCTAATTACAGTGAAATGCTTTGTTTGTGAGCAGTACAGGCAGGTCATAGTAAGCAAGGACATATAGATCATAGAATGGAAAAAGACTTGGACAGAGTAACGCATACAAGTTTCCACTGCACAGGACATGTGAGGCAAGATCAATAGTAACAAGATCAACATTATTTGAAGTTAGAAAGTCCATTCATCAGTCCAAAAACAGGAGCTGACAAGCTGTTCTTGAACATGCTGGTGCATGTGTTCGAGCTTCTGTATGAACTGCCTGATGGAACGGGTTGTAGGAGGTCATTACCAGGGTGGGAGATGTCTTTGATAATGTTGGCAGTCTTTCTGTGGTAGTGAGCCATGTAAATGGAGTCTACGGATGGGTGTAAAAAGCGAAAGAAATGCAGATGCTGTAAATCAGGAACAAAAACAAAGTTGCTGGAAAAACTCAGCAGGTCTGGCAGCATCTGTGAAGGAAAAAGGAGTTGACGTTTTAGGTCCAGTGACCCTCCAGTTCTGAGGAAGGGTCACCGGACCCAAAATGTTAACTCTGATTTTTTTTCCTTCACAGATGCTGCCAGACCTGCTGAGCTTTTCCAGCAACTTTGTTTTTGTTGTCTATGGATGAGAGGCTGGCTTCTGTGATGGTCTGGGCTGTGCACACAATCTCCTGTAGTTTCTTACGGTCCTGGGCAGAGCAGTTGCCGTACCAGGCCGTTATGCACCCAGACAGCATGCTTTCAATGGTGCATCTGTAGAAGTTGGTGAGGGACCTTATGGACATGTCGAATTTCCTGAGCTGCCTGAGGAAGAAAAGGTATTGTTGTGCCTTCTTCACAGTCACACCTATTTTGGAAGTCCAGGCCAGATTGTTGGTTACAGTCACTCCGAGGAAGTTGATACTTGACCTTCGCCACCTCAGTTCCGTTGATAGAAATGGGTGTTTTGCTAAATTTCCTGAAGGGCAAGTTGGCTAACTCAGAGATTTCTATTTTCGTGGAGACAGTAAGGACTGCAGATGCTGGGAGCCACAGTCTATTGGTGTGAGGCTGGAAAAGCACAGCAGGTCAGGCAGCATCAGAGCAGGAAAGTCAATGTTTCAGTCTGAAACCCTTTGTCAGGACTGGGGAGGGGAAGAGGAGCCCAGACCTTATTTATGGCGTACGGGCATTGCATACAAAGCCTGCGTTTACTGTGTATCCCCCAGTACTGTTCGGGTAAAGAGTGGGGGAGGAGCCAGCACGGCGGCGAGGGGCCAAAGGGCCAGTGTGTGTCACGTGGTATCCGGGGCTGTGCGCAGGCGCGGGAGTGCGGCCTAATCGGTTGCCGTGACAACAGAAGCCTGGAGTCAGAGTAACCCCGGGACGGAGAGTGTGGTAAAAGGCCACGCCATGAGCGGCTCCGAGGTGGACGATCACATCAACCGCAAATACCAACTGAAGAGGCGCCTGGGGAAGGGGGTAAGAGGAGGGGGGAAGGGGGGGTAAGTGCCGGGGGTAAGAGCCGGGGAAAAGGGGGCTGTGGGGAGGGGGGGGGGGGGGGGGGGGAGGGCGCGGGGGGGGGGGGGGGGG